AGAGATCAACCAAAGGACTTGTATGCATGCATATAAGCCAAACCAATGGACACAGACAACAGGGGGATGAGAGCATGAGTGGTGGTCGGGGAGGGGAGGTTGGGGGTTAATGGGGGGATGAGGACACATTTGTAATACCTTAACCAATAAAGAAATTAAAGATAAAAAAAGAGAAAGGGTTCCAGGTCAAGTAAGTTTGAGAAACACTGGGTTGAATACCATCCAGCAAGTTTCCCCAGGGTGCTGGGGGCTCTCTATGCAGCTGGCCACAGCGGTTCCCACACTCATCTGCCCGGAGCAGGGCAGGATAGGCTGAATGTCAGCAGGGACGGCGGAGGTTGCATATCCCGGTTAAGACACAGGTTTACCCCGGCCCGGTCCGGGCAGCATCTGAGCAGCACAGATAACCTGCCACCGGCGTTTCTGAGCATCAGAAGGAGAAACCAACCAAATGGAGTTCACCGACGTTCTCCCTCAACTGTGGGAGCGGAAGCCCTGTCACCACAGATGCCCATGGAGCAACCCGCCCTGACCCTCCCGAGGCCCAGGGGCCCCTCCAGACCCGGCCGGAGCCCCTTCTCTCCCTCGCGTCCACTTACTTTTCTGTCATTGAACTCCACGTCCTCACCTTCATACTCTCCCTGTTGGAAAAGAGAAAAGGGATGTTCTTACCACCCAAGGGCACTCTCAAGTAATTTCCATTCCTAATGTTTCTAAATAGACTCCACAAACACGCACTGACCTGGTTAAGATCACCCTAGGATGAGACTTCACCCAGAGCAGGAGGTGGACCAGGCCTCCCTCCGTGATACAAATCACTCCGTGTGTCCCGCGTGCCCTGCCCTCCACCTGACCCAGAGGCGAAGTCCGAGAAAGGACTGTGGCCAGGTCCCTGGAGGTGCCTTCTGGGGCTGGAGAATCTATCAACAGGGTGAACACACCTTCCACTCTGCAGGATGGCCCCAGTGTCTCGGCCCCAGTGCCCCGTCCAGGTGGGGCCCCTGTCACTCTTGATTGTCCCAGGAGGGACGATAAATGATATGGTAACGGCACGTACAGATCAGTGAGTCCAAATCTCCCATTTTACAGATGGAAACATTGAGGCGCATTGATTTTCCTGAGGACAGAAGGCTGAATTTGATCCAACCCGGGACTCAGATCCCGTCTCCAAGTGCAATGGAAGAGGAGGGTCTAAAAGTCAAAAGTGAGTCCCATGCACCAGCTTTGACTAAGCAGGAGCCACAAGTGAGGGGCTCAGTGAGGGCCTGGTGAGGCTGGTCCTGAGAACTGCCCGACAGATAAAGCTCTGAAGCCCCTTGGAGGCGTGCCCACTGCCCGTTCCACCACCAGCCCCCTCCAGGTGAGGAGGACTAGGCCACCCGGCAAGCAACCCGCCACCCTGGTCCTGGAAGGGGGATGCTCTGAGAGTCTTAAAGGACTCTCCCCTGCCCTGTCTTTCTTCTCATGGTGGAGTCAGCCACCTGGGCCCCACAGTACCGCATCTATCCAGAGGTCAGTTAGCTGGTGACCTCAAGGCGGGGAGATGCCAACCAGGAAGGAAGCCGAGTGGCCAGCTGAAATGTCAAAATCCGTTCTCTGTGGCTGACACACTGATTACAGAGACCCCCTGGGGGTCTCGCTCAGAGCACACCCCATTTCGGCAGGTGTCCTCTGGTTGGCACCCCACACCTTGCTGACAGGTGATCTTGCTGAATAAATGAATGAATGAATGAACAAACGAACACAGTGAGCCAGGCACTGGAAGGGGTGGCAATGCTGCGGGCATGCACGGAGGGCAGCAAGCAGAGACATCGAACACCTTAGTGGTGGTGAGACGGGTGATGAAAAATTCAGAGCTCAGGCAGCGATTTCCACCCGGTGCGCCACAAGAATTTTTAAACATGTAATACCTGACTATTTAGTCAGGCGCACTGACCTCTTTTCTCTTAGACCAGCGGTTCTCAACCTGTGGGTCGAGACCCTTTGGGGGGTCAAACGACCCTTTCACAGGGGTCGCCTAAGACCATTGAAAAACACATATATAATTACATATTGTTTTTGTGATTAATCACTATGCTTTAATTATGTTCAATTTGTAACAATGAAATTGGGGGTCACCACAACATGAGGAACTGTATTAAAGGGTCGCGGCATTAGGAAGGTTGAGAACCACTGCCTTAGACTGTCAAATAAAAAATGATAATGGCCAACACAGTAACTCTCCCGTGTGAATGAATCAAAATGGTATCTATATATGTTGTTGTTGTTTTTTTTTACCAGATTGCCGTAGAATTTTAGTAACTAGGTTATGTGTGCATGAGATGAAAAGGGTTGAAAAGAGCTAGGACTACACAGCATGTGCGAAGAGCCTGTGCCAACCAAGGAGACTGCGCCTTCACTGTGGGCAGTATTCTCTGTTTAAGAGCATGGGGTGCACGTGGCCCCGCTCACAGCAATGTCTGAACACCAGCTTTGGTACTGAAGGAGGTGGGTGTCCTTCAACTGTATGGGAAATTCACGGATATAAAACTCCGTATTCCCTCAAGACACCCCAAGTCCATAACCTGGCTGGAAAGAAGCCTGGAAGTGGAACCAGAGGATCTAGGCTCCAGGCTCCACTTCCTCTTGGCTGTCTTTCCCAGCAACCCCAGCCTCAGTTTCCCCATCCGTAAAGTGGGAACAGTTTGCTTACACTGCAGACAGACTCGATTGCTGGACAAATGTGGCAGTGATTGGGGGGGGGGGGTTGCATTTGGTGCCCAGGGAAAAATGAGGTGGTGGTCCACTAGGGGATGGAGGCATAGCCTCGGGTCAGAGGGCTGGCTTCCGGCTCTAGCTCTCCCCAGAGGCTGTGTGACCTTGGGCAAGTTACTAAACCTCTCTAGTCCCCCTGTCTCCACTGAATTGAATAAGGTAAAGCTCCTACTAAATACAGTTCTTTGCACATAGTAGGTGCTCAGAAAAGTTGATTTCTCCCCTTTCCCTTTCAAGACTTAAAGGTCTGACTTAAAACAGGCAGGGAATCTGAAACATTTCCGCTTCTGTGTCCCTGACCCTTGCCAGGAGTCCTCAGCTCAAAGGCCACGTGGGTGATGGAGAGGGCTACACTCCTGGTGCCGGTGGGACTGAACACCGAGCCTGAGCGCATGGCGGGTGGGTGAGCGAGGCCCCTCTGGACCCCTGGCTCTGTGGGAGGAGGCGGAAGCGATGGTGGGATCTGCGGGGCTCTGGGCCCTGCCCTGGAAACTTTCATCCAGCAACATGGCTCACCGAGGCAACTTGACTTGGTCCAGCCCATGTCAACACCACATTGATTGAGCACCACTAGGTGCCAGCATCGGGTTTTCATGAGATACACGCACAGTGAATGGCCGCCCAAAGCGGTGTCTTACTGGGACCGGAGCATCAGAGGCCCTGAGGAGGCAGGGAGAGATCACGGAGCTGGGGAAGGGAACAAGGCAGGCGTGGGCCAATGTGATGCTTCGTCTGCCCTGGGAGGGGAGAGGTGTTGTCCAGGCAGAGGTGGCGGGAAAAGCATGACAGGCAGAGGGAACAGCATGCACGAAGGCACAAAGATGGGAAAGCTGGCCCAGGGGGTCATGGTTTGATTCCCCGTCAGGGCACATGCCTGGGTCGCCAGCTCCATCCCCAGTAGGGGCTGTGTGCAGGAGGCATACGATCAATGTTTCTCTCTCATTGATGTTTCTATCTCTCTCTCCCTCTTCCTTCCTCTTTCTAAAAAGTCAATAAAAAATATATATTTTTAAAAAAGGTGGGGAAGCCAGTTGACCTCAAATCCCTACAGTGAGTGGTGAGGGCAGGGGTAGCAGGTCAGTGTTTCAGGGGTCGGCCTTCTGCTGCTCTATACCAGTGATGGCGAATCTATGACACGCGTGTCAAAGGTGACATGCGAACTCATTTTTTTGGTTGATTTTTCTTTGTTGAATGGCATTTAAATATATAAAATAAATATCAAAAATATAAGTCTTTGTTTTACTATGGTTGCAAATATCAAAAAATTTCCATATGTGACACGGCACCAGAGTTAAGTTAGGGTTTTTTAAAATGCTGACACGCCGAGCTCAAAAGGTTCGCCATCACTGCTCTACACCCTCCGTTTGTCCAGTCCACTGCAGCTGAAACCCCTCCCTCTGACACCCCCACTGGCCCTGGCAACGGGACAAGGCGGGCATTATTCCCAACTGGCAGGTGGGGACACTGAGGCTCAGAGACAACAAAGGGGCTATTTCCACTGTAGCCGAAGAGGAGTGAGCAGGGCCAGCGTCTGAGTCCCTGGCCCCCCAGGCCTGTCCTCTCCGGCTTCTTGGCTCCTCGCCGTGGCAGTAACGCACATTTGGAAAGTTCGAGATCCTCTGTCCGGGATTCCCACACTGCTCAGGCCTCACGGCCCATTCCCAGTGCCCCTCTGAACTCTAGACCGTTTCCATAGAGACAATGAGGAGGAATCATCTCGCTCTCTCCGCCCCGGAGCCAAGACAACTCGGGCCGAGGCCACGGGCTATATTTGTCAGGGGGATCCCAGTGGGATTTGGAGATTCAGCTCAGGAAGCTGGCCACTCGCTCTGCAGAGATAGAAACAGGCCGAGCCCTGGCCACTCTGCCAGAACCCGGGGGTTGGGCAGGGCGGAGACCAGCCAGGGGAGACAGGTCCTGGACAGCTGGCCGAGGTTCAGATAAGGCTGGGGCAGAAGCCCTGCCACCACCGTGTCTGGTGGATTTGCTCTTCAAGAAAAGATGGCCCTGTAACTCCTCGGTCCCCACTCGGGGGAACAGGGAAGGCCTGTGCCCAGCTGACATTTCAGGGCGAGCCAAAGCAGGAAGCCGAGACCGCAGGATAATTAGAGCTCCAGGGGGTGTGCGGGCCCGTGGGGATTCTGGAAGGCAAATGACGCAGAGATAAACCCTGTTGTCAAGGTCACTTACATCGTGCAGAGGGTAGGCAGCCGAGTAGACGCCATTGGCCAGCAGGCTGGTGATGCCTTAAAAATAAAGGCAGAGAGAGAGGATTATGGACCAGGCGTGTCCCCTGCTGCTCCGCGTCCCGACAGAGCTGTCCCGGGACTGTCGCAACCACGGAGAGTTTTCACAGAGCGAACCACACCTGGCTGCAGAGCCCAGCCACCTTCCTGGGGCGTCCTCCCCAGGTGCGACCCGATGACACACACATGCTCGATTGGCAGAATCAGGAAGACACCCAGGAAACCCCGAGAGGAAGTTACGTCTGGAAGGAAGGAGGAACCCCAAACCGGCAATTCACCAACGACCCCGCCTGCTCGAGGGCAAGCCTGCAGATCGGAAGGATGATTTCGAGTGGTTAGAAAAGCTGAATCACAAGAAAAATATGGATGGGAAGGAAAATTGATGGTGTCAGAAACACACATACAATTTGGAATTAGATTTTAGGTTGATTGGAAAAGCCAAGGAGGAGGCCTGCGGCCCGGCACGGAGGGCAGAGGCACTTACCGTATTTACCACACTTTCGCCTTTTACTTAAAAGGGCAGAGTCCTTCTTTCTTCCCTCTCCTTGCCCTGTTTACACATCGGCTATTAGTTACACGCAAAAGGGCCTGAAAGCATCGAAGCTGCGTTTGGGGGAGAGAGCACCCTGTGGCCCGGTGCCCCCTGGGGCAGTGGGATGAAAGTCAGGCCCTTATTTGCAGACCCCAGGCCCTGCACGGAGTGCATTGTAACAAGAGCCACACCTGCACTTCCTGTGGATCAGGGCGCCCCGCCCTGGAAGACAGTGCTGTGAGAGAGGCTGGCTGTGCGTGGGGATCAGGTCCTGGGACTCTGGTCTTGGTCCACACACACATTTTTGGGATTCAGTGCTGTTGAGGGGTTTCCATGAAGCCCCTTGCTGGTCACAGAACCACCTGCCTGGCCCAAGAGGCGTTCTAGGGAATACGTGGGTTAGGTTTTGCACTGGCCTGGCCGGCTCACTCTCCACTGCTGTGAGAGTGCCGGAAAGGGGGCTTCTGGAAATCTGCTTAAAAACTGTGTCCACTGCCGAAACCGGTTTGGCTCAGTGGATAGAGCGTCGGCCTGCGGACTGAAAGGTCCCGGGTTCGATTCCGGTCAAGGGCATGTACCTGGGTTGCAGGCACATCCCCAGTAGGAGATGTGCAGGAGGCAGCTGATCGATGTTTCTCTCTCATCGATGTTTCTAACTCTCTATCTCTCTCCCTTCCTCTCTGTAAAAAATCAATGAAAAAATATATTTTAAAAAAACCGAAAACAAACAAAAAACTGTGTCTACCATTAGTGATCTGGAATGGTTAGGTCACCTGAGGGCGCTGGGCAATCCAGACCAGAGAGAGGCGGGAGCACATGGCTGAAATCACACACAAGTGAGTTCGCCTGCAAGAAGAAATGGACCCGGGGCCCAGCCAGCATGGCTCAGTGGTTGAGCATCGAACTATGAACCGGGAGTTCACGGTTCGATTCCCAGTCAGGGCACATGACCAGGTTGTGGGCTTGATGCCCAGCTTGTGGGCTCGATCCCCAGTAGTAGGTGTGCGGGAGGCAGCTGATGAATGATTCTCTCTCATCATTGATGTTTCAATTTCTCCCTTTCCCTTCCTCTCTGAAAGCAGTAAAAATGTATTATAAACAAAGAAAAGAAAAGGGTGTGGGGTGTGGTCCAGGTCACTGGCTCCTCACTGTTCCTAGGACCCTCTTACCACGGAGCTGCCTTCCTTCAGGTTTGGGCCTTCTCTGACCACTGCTTCTCATCCCCACCCACCCCCAGGCCTCCCCACCCCCTGCAACGGCAAGTTTAGGACCTGGTGCATCTGATGATTTACTATTTCCCTCTCCCAGAACACAGACCCCTGGGGGCAGGGAGCACCTGGAGGGGCCTGGCGGGTGACAGACTCCTCAGGTGCTGAATGAATAATCTGGAGGCCAGTAGGGCTTTCAGACAAGGCGCCCATGTGAAATGGGGGTGCAGAGTAGGTGCCCTCCCACATCGATATGCTCTGACACCAGGCCTGCCAGAGAAATAGCAGGAACACTCAGCACGCCCACCCCCAGGGAGCACCTGCACCCGGAGGCCCCAGCCCCCTGGCTATCAGCAGCTTCCTAGGGAAGGGGCCCCACAGGCAGCCTGAGCTCCCAGAAGTACTGGGGTGCTAGATCCATGCTTCCTCCCTGTTCTATTACCCCCTGCTCTGTTCCCGCCCCCCCGCTCTGTTCCCCCCTCTGTTCCTCCACGGCTCTGCTTTTTTTACTCCCTCCTACTCTACTCCCCCCTGCTCTACTCCTCCCTGCTAAAAACTGTCCACTGGGCCATTGTGGAGGCTCTCGCTCTATTGACGGTGGCCAGGCCTGTGGGGACAGTTGTCTTGGGTTCTTCCTGACCCCTGGCTGAGGCCCCACTCCCTCTGACTAGGACATGGGCTTAGAGATTTCAGGCCTGGAAGCGTGTCCCTGTGACTGGCCATCGGTCCTACTGGCCAGAGGACACACAGCCTGTCTAACCCTGTAGGGTTCATCCTCACCCCGAGTCCTGGACTTGTCCAGGACCATCACCTGCCGAGCATTTTACTCCTCCCACTCTCCCACCCCCTCCCAGGGCGTCCTTCCTTCCGTGGGAGCAGGCGGCAAGGACTCTCACTCCTGGGTGCACAGACCCCGGCTCCTACAAGACCCACCCTGCGGCCCTCGCCACAGCCTCACAACCTCAGGTGCTTGTCCAGCGTGATAAACTGCAGCGTGGGCACCGCCCCCGGCAGGGCCTACCACAGCTCGGGAAGAAGGAGAATCGGCTAGAAAAGGCATTCCTTTGCTCTGAATGTTCCAGATTAGCAAGCTCAGCCTGCAGCTGTGGGCAAGGGACCGGCGGCGGGGTGGTGCCCGTCCACATGCTTTATTGGTAAGGCTCTGGACACTGGTCCCCGAGGAGCCCAGCTCGGGTGGTTGTGCGGCAGGTTCCAGAATCAGGGCATGTGGTGAGGGGAGCACTTTCCGGCAAGGCCTGGTGTGAGGTTGCATCGGCCTGGTATGGGGCTGCATCGGCCTGGAGGGGCTGCTGTGGGCCATCACCCCGGCTGGAACCCTAACTACTTCTTGCTGGACTGTGAGGGTTAAGACACCTGGTCACCCTACAGCGTCCAGCAGCCAGGATTTACCACCTCGCAAATGCCTCAAGCCAAAGAGGAGACTTTGGTGCTGAGAAGTGCGGGCCGTAAAACTGCCCCGCGGTTCCGGTCCCGGAACGGCTCTCCTTTCTGAGACTGTCACACGGGCTTAAATCAAAACCCTCTAACAACTCCCAAGCCTGCCCGCCCCCCACGGAGATGATGCCGAGGCGAGATTACCACTGGGAAACCAGCGCTGATGTCAAGCCCCAGAAATGTCCTTACCCATGCTGTACTTGGCTTTGGTACACGTTGTTCTTTTCAGAATTTCATAGACCTAGTGAGGAGACAAGAAGGCGGTGGACAGTTACTCGGGCTGCAACGGCACGCAGAGGCCGCCGTGTGATTGCCGAGGAGGGATGCGGTCGAGCGTGATGACCTCCTCTCCGGGGACTTTTCTGCGGATGCTCGGTCAACAGTGTTGGGGTTTTGATGTTCTCAGGGATAAGTCAGTGCGTTTCGAAGGGGTCCCATCTTTTACTTTCCTTCTCGAAGCGCCGACTCCGTGTTGTGCTAGTGTCAGGGTTAGGGGTTGTCCCGTGGGCCCTGCATCATGGGTTACTGTCCCCCTGGCTATGAGGTGAGTTACAATTCAGAGACGTAAGCATCCGGCTAATAGGGCAACTCTTGGTGTAGCCAGGAAAGTTCCAGAAACCCCTAGTGGGCAGATCTCAGGATTCCATTCTGCTGTCAGGAGGCAGCAGAGCTCAGGGTGCTGGCAGAAGCCCCTCCACCCCCACCCCCCCAAAAGGCTCCCATCGCACGCCCCTCCGTGCCCCATTTGCTAACAAAACATTTTGCCTGGTGGCCTCAGGAGCCCTGACAGGGGAGTCTGCCTGCCTGGGTCTGAGTCCAGGCTCTACCACTTGTAGCTGTGTGACCTTGGGCACCTACCTCACCACCCTGTGCCTCAGTTTCCCCATCTGCAAAATGGGATGAAAAGAAGGGACCTTGCACCATAGACATACGGGGCAGAGCACACCCATCCCCCTCGCAACCTTCCACGATCCCACTCACTTGGGCAAGACCAACAGCCTTGCCGTGGCCCCCCAGGACCACCTGTCTGACCTTCTCTTCCCATCCTGTCTGTTCCAGTAACCCCAGCCTCCTGGCTGCTCCTCGGACTCACCAAACCCTCTCCCATAGCCTAGGGCCTCCACCCTGGCTGCTCCTTCTGCCAGAAGCGCTTGTCCTGAGATCTAAATGAGAGGGACCTAAACAAACAGGCCACAGCGCACCTGCCATTCCCGCCGCTCTGCCTTCTAACTTCTGTCTTGTCCTGGAGTGCATTTCACCACCTGCCCTGTTGCTTCTCCGCCCACCAGTGTTGGGTACACACCAGGTGCTCCATAACTGCCCACCGAACGAATGAACGAATGAATGAATGATGGCCTACTCAGGTGACTCCCTCTCGTCATTCCCCAAATCTAATCGGTGGCCTCTTTCTGACCACGCTGATTCTCCCAGAACTGCCTCCTCCCACCCACCTGCCGTCACAGCCACATTCACAACCACCGCCATGAATCTGCCTGCACTTTCCATCTGTTCTCCCTCAGCCGGCCACGGGCAGTGATCTTTGTAGGACAGATCTGACCTCACCTTAAACCTTGCTCCACAACCTTCTATGGCTTCCTACTGCCCAAGGCTGAAGGTCTAAATCCAAATCCCAAGACCAGCACATTGGCTCTTTCCCTGCTGTTCCCGACTCCTACCTGCCTACAATGACCTCACACCAATGCCAAATACTGTTGGGACTCAAAGACCATGGAGCTGACTAACCAAGGGCAACGTTTTGAATCGCCAACGTTTTGAATCCAGAGCACAGGCAGTTTACAAACTGGCCTCCAGGGTCTCTGGGAGAGAGTGACCCCGCCCCACAGGTAAATGGACTGATGGACGGTTCAGTTTATACTTACTGCCCTATCAAAATTGCTTTCTGTGATTTGGGGGTCATGGACTGATCCCCAATGTATGAGAACTAAAACTTTAGATTCACGTATTCCTCCCTTCCATAATAGCAAGAGTGAATTTACAAATGTGCACCTGCCCTGTGCTCCGGGGATAATGTGAAAAGTTGGGGAGCACATACGTAATGGAACACGGGCACGTGGCTCAGTGAACACCGCTGGCCACTCTCTCCTGTCCCGTCCTGGGGTAGGAAAGGGGAACCATTGAGGTGAGAACTGGGGATTCGCCCAAGCAGTGGGCATCCCAGAGAGAGGGGTTCCCTCTGGACACAGGTCAGCCCCAAGCTATGCCGGGTAAAAGAGTCCCCCCTCATTTATAATTATGGGATTTAATTGCTAAAACTAATCAGTAACACGGTTAACAATAAAAATCATAGCCTCTGTTCCTGGCTCTGCGTCCAGGTGACCCCCGGAGGAGGCCCCCGCTGCCTTTTGAGCAGGAAGCCAGGATCGCCGTGGTTCGCATGCAGGCTCCGTGACTCCCAAAGTCATGAGGCCAGGAGGGACCGGTGGGGGGGACAGGACCCCGATCTCCCTGTCCAGGCCTCGGCAGCAGCCCCCCACGTCCATGTGACCGATGGCACTGTCTCTGGCCTGGTAGTTATCTGCTCAAGGTCCATTTTTTTTTTGGGGCGGGGAGGAGAGGGCAGCAGCGGAGGCTTGGCTGTGGCTGGGCTTCGAGGTTAATTTCTTGTTTAGATAAAAGTTGGGTCCTGAGCCACGCAGGGCCCAGCTTGGCTGGCGGACAAGTTGGCAGCCAATGGATAAACATTAAACCAATACTGTACCTTGAATAGGGCAGGGTGGCCTGGTCAGATTTCAAACCTCGGTTTGCTCATCTGGCAAAACCTCAGATATCTACCCCAACCCACCCGGCTCTGCGGGCCACTGCCCATCACTCCTGCCTGGCCGCTGCCTGGGCAACCTCTGGGCCTGGGCCCCACAGTTAGGAACCTGCAGCTTCCTCTTAGGGCCCAGGGAGCTGTGCTGGGAATAGCAAGACCAGACCACCCAGAAATCACCCCAGGGTCTGGAATCTCTCTCCCTCTTTCCTGCTGCCCCCCCCCCCCCCCCCCCCTGGGCTGGGCCATCCTCTGGGCCCCTCCAAGCTCTCTAGGTTTTATTACCCTAATTATTTCTGTCACAGACAATTAGAGGCACTTCCACCCCGAGGAGTTTCTCTGAAATGAAATTATCCTCCCTCTCCCTGGGGCCACCTTGCTGGGGAGCTGGCGATACCCACGTGCGCATGTGATACTTACTATTGTGCTTCGGGTTTTGCTATCGAAAAAGGAATCCTTGTCAGACAGGTCAAATCTGTTGAAATAATAAGACACAGTTTGCCGGAGTCTGAGAACCACGCTGTCCCCATGAGCATCAGCTGTGGAACTGGGAGAACTGTCCACAGCCCAGGTGTGACCAGATCCTGGGCACTTGGAACAGTTTATCCCTCCCCTCCCCCACCTTCTCTCCAAGAGGATGGGAGACCCTCAGGGGTCGGAAGTGACCCCAGAGGCAAGCATGCTCAGACGTCCCCTCGGAAGACCCTGCTTCTGTTAGGGGCAGAGATAGAATATTGGGGACCAGCTACAGTTACCTATCTATGTAATAGAGGGATATGCAAATTAGCCGGGACGTGGTAACATCACAACCGAACAGCAGGGACCTGAGGCTGCAACCCCCACCTACCACCGGGCTGGGGGATCTGAGGCTGTGCCCCCCGCCTGGAGGGGCTTGACGGGGGCGGGGCCAACCGGGTCTGGGTCTCCTGTGTTTTTGAAGCGCCTGTGGGTGGTGGGTGGGGACTTGACTCTAGGTCCCGCGGCGCGCCCCAGACTCTGACAGGAGGGAGATTTTCATCTACATTTTACTAATTTTCTTTAATCTCTGACACTTCTATTATAGAGAAAGGGCAAATAGCAATATTAAAATATTTCCGCTAATTAATTCCTTTTTAATGTGCACGAATTTCGTGCACCAGGCCACTAGTAAGAAATATTCATCGTGCTCTGTTAACCGTGATGGTTCTGTTCTGATTAGAGAAAGCACCTTCTAACCTGGTTGGGGGGTGCACGCCCTGGGACATGGGAGCTACCATCAGAATGCAGTCCGTCCTCCCCTCCAAAGAACTGCCTGTTAGCATGGAAAGATTTACAACCTCGAGGCCAAAATAATCTAGTCCCAGAGGCACCCATCCTTTGCAACCCCCAGCCCCTATTGCCTGTAACGATTATACCTTGCCAACTTCCCCGTGCCTGTAATTCCTACTTTCCAACGTAATCTTTGCCCTTCTACCCTATATAAGCAGTTGGCTTATGGGGAGAGGGAGTGCAGATGTTTGTGGATGACCTGCTACTCTCCCATGCTGCCAAAATTATTGGAATAAATGCTCATATATGATTCAACCCTGTCTCTGCTTAATTGGCTCAAGTAGTGACAGGCAGCCCCGACCCCTTGGCTGTCCAATTATACACCCTTTTGAGGACGGTCTTGGTGGGCAGTTGTGGTCTCTGCCTCAACACTGCTGGGGGCGGGGATGGTATCATTCCACCAGCGTGCTTTCTGCATAAGATAATCTCCCTTTAACTCTCAAATGGGTTTGGTTCTGAGGTCTTGGGCCACCTTGAGGTTGCCTAACTCTTCGGAGTGCACAGGGACATCGGTGGGGTAGGTGACCCACTCTGCAAGGTAGGGCTGGGAGGGCGGCTGGGGGGAGCCTGGCGGTGAGCCTGGGCTGGCAGGGTGCGAGGGAGTCGGCCAGGGCAGAGCGAGGGAGGCTGGGCCTGGGGTCCTGGCCTGCCTCTAAGGCCCCGGAGCTCTCTGTCTGGAAGCTGGTGGAAGAAGCTGGGCCGAGCCACTTATTCCTTATCCCTTGTCCTGGGGAAACAGGCGGACTGGGGCCCGGGACCACTGTGCTGTGACTAACGCATTTGCATTTGCCAGGCAGAAGCCCCAGTTCTGAGTGAGGCACAGGTCTCCATGCCCGTGAGAGCAGCGGTGTCTGGGACCCCTCCCCCCCTCAGCTTGCCATCAAAGTCCCACTGCGTTCCCAGAGCCCAAGCTACTTATTCCCACCACTGCCCGCACTTCAGCTCTGCCCAGTGAGGGCCCAAGAAGGCCTTGCAGCCACCACCGCCCCAGGTGGCTACGCCCCACTGCCCCGAGGGGTCAGGGAGGCAGGGAGGCGGGAAGGCTCGGGAACAGATACTGCACTGCCAGGCAACCCCACTGGCTGCTGAGTCCCTGGGGCCTCAGGACTCCAGCTGGGGCCGCTTTTCAGTTCCTGCTTCCCAGCTCCGCAGCCTGCAGGAGGCCGCTCAGCAGCCCCTCTCAGGGGATGCATCCTAAGAGGGATGGAGCCAGGCAGGAGGGAGGGAGGGCGCCCAGACACTGCTTTGGGGCTGTGATCCGAGGCCCACACCTGCCTTCACTTGTGCCCTTGCCAGTGTCCCTGTCAGAATGGCAAGTTCTTTGCCCCCTTAGTTCCTCAGTTAACAGTGACCTTAGGGAGCATTTTTAGGGCCCCAAGGACTCTGAGCGCCATGAGAAGAGGCACCAGAGGCTGCCATCCCCACTTCTTTGGGGGAGTTTGTCCCACAACCTGCATTTCTCACGTTATGGACGATGACAGGGACGTGACCACCCAGCAGGGCGCCCAGGGAGGGGCTGGGCCCACTCACAGGTGCTGCTTCTCCCTGGAGAAGGGGTAGGAGAGTCTCTTCATGGTCTGGGCTCTGTGCTCCGCCACCCGGGGCTGGATGGGGTCCGTGATCTTCTGGAGCACCGAGTTGATCTTTTTCAGGAGGCCCCGCATCTCATTGATGTGATACATCTGCGGTGAGACGGGGCGGGGCACCGTCATCTGCTGAGCCCGGAGCCCAGGGCTCTATTCCCACCCCCCTGAGGCGGCCCCTCCTGGGAACGCATGCTGGGACCCGCCAGGGTGCCCCTCTCCACGTCTGGGTTCCAGATAAATCTGGGAAGCCCGCGGTTTCAGGCAAGACCGGCCGAGAGAGCAGTTACAATCCATTCCAGAAACTTCCCCGAACTTTAGTTTCAAAAGGGGTGAGTTTGAGACACCTGGATAACTTACTCCCCGCACCACCGGCCCTCGCTGTCCTCTCCCCGGAGAAACCCTGATGCCCAGCTGAGCTTCAGGAGCGTACCACCCTCCGACGGGGTCTGAGCTGCACCGTTTTCGGAGATTAGAAAGCAAAATCCCAGCCAGCCAGGAAATGCAACTAAAATGAGTCTGATGAACTAGCTGAGACACGGTGAGCGGTGAGCGAGCGAGAAACCCCTGCGCGGGAAGTTCAACTGCATTCACTTCCCAGCACGCCCACGGCTCCCTGCCTGAGCCACCTCCGGGGTGTGGGCTGGGTCTCGCCAGAGGCACGGAGCTCTCTGGCTTTTGCAGCAACGCAGACGGAGCCTCCTGCCAGCATCTGCCGGCGGAGTCTGCGGGCCCTGTGGCCGGAGACCTGCCTCGGAGCAGACACGTCCCCACTAACCTTCTTGGTCGGCATCTTCAGTTTCAGAAACTCCGCCTCTCTGCACAGCACGTTCCAGGGCGCGTGGATCTTCACAAACCCGACGCCGTGGATCTTAGTCTGCAGGAGGAGAGGCGTCTCAGTTCGCGCGGGCGGACACGGCGGAGGCCATTCTCACCTCCGGGCCCCGTGACAGCCTGTCAGGAGCTGCCACACCGGCCCCTTTCGCCCGTCACCCCTCGTGCCCCTCGAGACAGGGCTCCGAGTCCCCTCCTTGCAGGTGGCGCAGGGAGCTCGGGAGGCCAGGTCTCAGGGAGCAGAGAGCCAGGAGGGCCTGGAGGGAGGGTCCAGGCTCCAACACCAGCGGGTGAGCCACAGGCCCCCAGAGCAGCCGGCCATACCACGAAAGAGGCCCCTTTACAGCACAAAACCAGATCCAGGGCCGTGCTCCCTCTGGAAGCTCCAGGGGAGGGTCCTTCCTGCCTCCCCCAGCTTTTGGGGCGCCAGGTTTTCCTGGGCTTGTTGACCCCATCACCCCCGTCTCTGCCTCTGTCTTCACATGGCCTCCTCCCCTCTGTGTGTCTCTGCTTCAAATCTCCCTCCTTTCTCTTCCAAGGACACCTGTCATGGGACTTGGGGCCTACCCTAAATTCAGAGGATGCTGCCCAAAGATCCTTAACTCCTTACATATTTGCAAAGACCCTGCTTCCAAATAAAGTCACATTTGCAGGGTCCAGAGATCACAGCTACACTCGTCACAAAGCTACAGCCCAAGCCCCCTGGGGCTGTGCTCCCAGGGTCGTCAAGCTCGGCCATCAGGGAAGTTGCAGAGAAGCACCGGCCAGAAGCTAGCGCTGGGGCTGCTTCACAGACACAGCCAGAACCAGGGCGCTCAGGCCCAGGGACCCTCCCGATAGGCAAGGGCTCGGAGGCGTGCCAGCCGGGAGCCTGGAGCCCTGACTCAGCGGCCCAGGGCTGGGGACTCAGGTCAGGTGGGCACCGGGCGAGGCCATGGGACTTAGAGGCCTTGGGATCAGGTGGCCTGGGTGGGAGTCCTACCCTGCCCCTCTGGGGTCTCCAGCAAGTCAGGCAACCTCTCTGAGCCCCCGTATGCTCATCTGCAAATCTGGGCAGCACGGGATTGCTTCACAGTCAGGGGGAGGCCCCTCATCCATGGCTTGCAGGAGAGGTCAGAGAATGAGGGGCTGTTGCCTCTGCTCCGGACTCCCTCTCCCTGGCCGAGAGGCAGCTGAGACCATGCCCGCTATGTGGACTCCGTTGCCAAGAAGCTAAAGCAGCTTCCCAGACCTGGAGGCCCAGGAGGGCACTGAGAGGCTGGCCCTGGTGACCCGTGGGCACCCCCGAGCAGCCAGAAACGACCGTGGATACCCACGTGCGGCAGAGCCCGTCTCCTCCTGCTACAGACCAAGTTTATTTCTGTGCACTGCTCATCCGCACGCAGACCCAAAATACATCCTCCCGAGTCCATGGAGATTTCTCCCGAGGTGGTCAAGGAGCTGGTGCGCGGCCGCCTCCCTGGGAAAACACGCTTCTTTGTTTACGCGAGCAACGGGTCGCTCCCAGGGAAACATCTGGCGGACTTGGGAAAGGGGTCATGGGACCAGCTCGGCAAGAACACACACGGGATGTTTTAAAACGCGGTGCCCAGCCTGCCCGCAGCCCACCATGGTGGGAAGACACTGTGAGACGCCGGGTCCTTTTCCAACAGCCAGAGGCCCCAGAGCGGTGAGACCCGTCCCGACTCAGGCCCCTCGTGCTGGGGAGTTTGGAGGCCACGGATTGGCCAGGGCCAGAGCTGTGGAGTGGGGGCTCCAGGAGGAGACAGAGTCAGGGCTCTGACTGGGCCCCCAACTAAATGAAGACACTGGCAAGAGACGCTCGTGTACACCCAGGTGTGAGCCCTGGGTCTTGGGTTCTGAAAGGGTTAGATGGATGATAAATCAGAAAGGATCTGCCAAGGACAGGAAACGACTAAAACCCGACACAGCCAACTTGGAAATGAACCCAAGAGAACTTCCTGAAATAGAGTGTCACCAAGAGAATCAAACACTCCACAGACACGTTTGAAAATACTCAGCCAGAGAAAGGAAGACAGACATGCAGGGTAGAGCAGGTTGATGCTGGTAACCTGGCTCTCCAGAGAGAAAACACAACCCCTATCCCTGGTCTGTAGTTGTAGCTTCTGCCCATTTCCATGGTGTAAATACTCCCATTATGGCCTAGTGCAAACTACCGAAGGGTTGGCAACCGGCTGGCAGGTTCCCAATGAGCCAGAAAGAGCTGGCTCTGGCACTCCAGGGCCCGGGACACAGGAGGATGTCGACAGCTGCAGCCAGAAAGGCACAGATTGTATCACAACCCACCTGGGACCTGGGCAGGGCTGTGCAAACATCTTTGAGGGCTTTTAAAGACTCGGCTTTAAAAAGAATGTCCAGGATACACTTTAAGAGATAGGCTCACAAACCAAGACAGGCCGAAGGAACTCAGGTGGGGGTGTAAGAGCCTCAGCAGAAAGACTCAAAAGACATAAAACCTTTAGTGCCCAAGACACGAACGTATCCTGGTGGAATTATGAATGAGAAATGACTGCTTCAGGACAGGACCAGCCCTCTGGGACCCAGGCCCTGTGGGGTCAGTTTCCTGGGTTCACCTCTCAGAGCCTCAGTTCCTTTCTTTCCATCTGTAAAGGGATCAATTCCTGGACCACCTACTCACGGCGGGGTTAGGGAGCTCACATGGGTGGGTTAGGGTTTGCTTCCAAATGGACAAGTCCCCCCCCCCCCAAAATGTTTGCCGCTCCTTTGTTCTTATGTATCGAGATGTTGGGATTAGACCTCAAGTTCCTCAATGCCACAGGGGAGGGGCCGCCCTCACCCCCGCCAGTGCTGAGGGCCCAGCTGGTCATTACCGTCAGCCAAGCCCCAGAACCACCTGGGACACCTGCCCATGCCCTCCAGGCCTTAGCTGGAAACTGCAGGAAACACGTCCCCGCCCTGTGGCCATGACCATGGCAGACCAACCCGGCCCCCAGCCCTGTCACTTGGTGGTGTCTCCATCTGCAGGGAGACCCTTCCCCCCAAGATTTGCCTCCTGGTTCCCGACAGGCAGAAAGAAAGGCAGGAGCTGAAGCCCCCTGTGACCATGAGCAGGGCACCTGTGCCCGGGGTGGGGGCGAGGAGTAACTCTCTCAGCCCACTCCCTGAGGAAGGAAGCACCATCACCTCCATTTCGCAGATTGGGAAACTGAGGTCCAGGAGGGGAAGCCCCTTGCCTGAGACCGATCAGCCAGGAAGCGGCTGAGGTGGTCTGAACCCGTGTCGGGGGCTCCGAGCCCTCATTTTCGCCAGCCCACGATGCATCCCGTGCCCGAAGCTTGGTCTGGAAGCTGCCTCTGTTCTCCCTCATTTGTTTCTCAAAAGGAACATCCCCAGTAACGAGGATGGGACACAGATGTCGCTGAGGGACCACACGGGCTCCACGGGAGGAACCCGAGCCAGACAGCCGGGCGCACGGCTGAACCCTGGACGGCAGTGTGAAGGCGGACAGACTTCCCAGGGCTCTGATGTCCGAGGCCCTCACTGTGCTGCCAGAGCCGAGGTCAGGTTCAACCTCAGGGCAGTGTGGGCCTCGGCGCCCCCGGCACACACAGCGGATAGCAGTGTGTGGCCTTCTCGGCGATGACCCCGGACATAAATAATGTCCGGCAGGCTTTGAGGCTGGACTTGGAAGATGCTGATGGGTTTCAGTTGAGAGGAAGCACGCTGGCCACAAACTGCTCTCGTCCATTTAATGGGATCCTGGACGCTGACCCCTCTGCTGTCGGAGGGAGGGATAGAGGGCGCTTTCCTTCAGAAGGAACGCGGGGCCTCCTGCCTCCACGGCGCTTTTTCTTCCTGTCATTTCCTATCATGGGTGCTGGGGGCTCTGTCGGGGCTACCTCTGGGTGCCAACATGGGATCGGGGCGTGGACTCTGGGGCCCTTCTCTGAGGATGCCTCTGTGGGCACATGGAGAAGAAGGCCTGCACGCTCCTCATGCCTCAGAGTGTGGTCGGGGGCAGCGGCCTCCCCACGCCCTGGGAGCTGGTCAGAAACTCAGTCCCGTTCCCCCCCCGCCCCCGCCACACACACCTGCATCAGAGCCGCATTCCGACAGGACCACGGGGGGTGGTTCTGTGCATATCCTGGGCCCTGACACCATGGCTGGGCCCATCTCAGACCATCTACCTGCTCTGCCCCCACCCAGCACCGCACCTCCCTTGCCCGCTGCTCGTACCCCTGCGTGAGCCACCCACTCCGGGGGCCACTACTCCAGGGCACAGTCTCAGCTGCTGTGCTGGTGGATGGTGTCTCCAAAAAGAGACGTCCATGTCCTAACCCTCCGTATCGGTGACTGAATGGGATCCTGTTTGGAAAGAGGGTCTTTGCAGATGTAACCCAGTCAAGAGGAAGTCATACTGGATTAGTGTGGGCTCTCAATGCAGGACCAGTGACCTTATAAGAAGGTCGCACAGAGGTCGTACAAAGACAGGGGCCAAGGGAGGCCTGGAGCCCCAGAAGCTGGAAGAGGGAGGAAGGAGCCTCCCCTGGAGCCTTGGGAGGGAGTGGGGCCCTGCCCACACCTCGACCGCAGACTCCTGGCCTCCTGAACTGGGAGAGAATAAATCTGGATTGTTTTAAGCCCCCCAGTTTGTTATGGTCGCCCCAGGAGAATAACCATTGCGTGTCCCTAAGAACCGGCCCCCACTGCGCCCCGAGCCAGGCCAGTCTTCCACGTCATCAGGAATGTCTTTACCTCAACAGACCCCCTGACTCAAAGCACAGAACAGCATGCCTGCTGGCCCCTCCGGGAACAAAGGCAGGTCACGTCTGTGCTGCTGGTGACCTCCACGGGACTGCCTGGACATGGCCAGGGGAGACTGGGCCAGCAGACAGCTCAGGGGGGCTGCCAACGCACCCAGGAGGCCTTGTTTAGCTGTCCTGTTTCTTGTCCCTCCCTCCCCTAGACTTTTGTGGACGAAAGGGGCCACATGCTAACCTGACAAGCTCAGGGGAGGCCTGCATGGCAGTCTTGCAAACTCAGAGACTTAAAGTAACCACAAAGGATGGTCTGAAATTAAGCTTTCATTAAAAGCAGTTATGGTGGGCAGTTACGTCCTAGGCCGGTATCTTCACTGACAAGGTCAACCTTTACCTTGACTGAGCCTATCTGTCTTTTTGCATCTATCATAACATACCCTTGAAATGTCTGGGTAACTTGTAACTTCCCTTTTTCTGGACTCCCTGGGGCACAACCTAATTAATGTGCCCGTACCACAGATCCCTTCATTGTTATGTTAATTGTTCCTGCACCCACCTAAGTATGTGTCTACCATTTAACCTTTTATCCAATCCCAGGGGTCCCCCCTCCCTACTTTCTCCTGCCTCTCTAGTCTATCACCAATGGATTTCATGTAACCCACCTATGCCCCTTCCTTTGATTGCAATGTATAAATACAGATGTAACCTGCCATTCTCCGGAGCATTATCTCAACTCCTCGAGGTTCTGCTTCCCGTCATATGTTGACAGTTTGACTCAAATAAACTCACAAAAAAAAAATTCTTCACAGGTTTGAATGTTTTTTTTACGTTAACACTTGAAAGCTGAGCCTCTCAATATTAGCCCCCAGGGACATTTAGCCATGTCTGGGGACATTCTGTGTTGCGTGACTTGGGGGTGCTACTGGCCAGAGAGAGCCAGAGATGCTGCTAAATATGAGATGCCAGCAGTGCCGCCGAGGGTGAGAAACCTGCTCAATGCAATGGTCCCTTCTCTTTGGGTGTCACTGAGTATTTGCGGATCCAATGGATTCCATGGACTTTTCTCCCCCCAAAAGTGCACATAGGCACCAAATTTCGCTTCAAATTGGGTACGACTGCACACCTGGGGTCTTTCAGAGGCTATCGCATTTCCCACACTATGAAGCCTCTCAGGCCTTGTCCTCGGAGCGCACCAGGGGGACTGATTCATGGACAAGGTGTCTTTCCCCCTGAAACACACAACAGCGGCTGTCTGCTAATCGCACTGGCGGGGGCCGCACACAACTCAATGCTGCCTGAGCCCAAGCGGCCTTTGAACAGGTTCTGGTCTCAGGTGAGAGCTGCAAATGACAGCAGCCCTCGTAAAGCACGGCTCACCATGGAGAGGCTCCACCGGGAGACGGTCCACACTCAAGGTCAGCCGCTTTGAAAACTCGGACCGTCTAGTCTCCACCACCACAGCATTTTCATTTTAAAATGGCCCAATTGGTGGCTGAAAGGCCTCTTTCGGCCACAGAGCCAAATTATCAATGACATTTTTGGGCCCCTTATTGGGAAAACTAGATCTTTTATTGGTGACAGTAACCAACGTCTTTATGTTTGCTTGTCACAAAGTTATTTTAAAAAGTATGGCTCTTTTCTCTCCTCCTTTGCGGGCACTGCTGTTCCCACTTCTCCAGGAACAGGAGTATCTGATGAAATATTATTAGCGTTCAGTACGAATTTGTCACGTGCCAGACTTGGAGTTAAGCACTTTGCACTTTACTCACGACAGCCCAGTGATATAAACACCAGGCTTATCTCCATTTGACACATGGGGAAACTGAGGCCTAAGCAGTTGAACAAAGGACAGGTAGAGGGTCTGGGATTGGGCCAGGGTCAGTGTGAGTCACCAGACCTCGTGGGCCCTTTTAGGCGTGAGATTTCATAGTTGTAGTGAGGAAAGAATGGCAGCAACAGCAAACCCCTGGGTATATAGACCAGTGGTCGGCAAACTCATTAGTCAACAGAGCCAAATATCAACAGTACAACGATTGAAATTTCTTTTGAGAGCCAAATTTTTTAAACTTAAACTATATAGGTAGGTACATTGTTATTAACTTAATTATGGTACTCCTAAGGCTTAGGAAGAGCCACACTCAAGGGGCCAAAGAGCCGCATGTGGCTCTCGAGCCGCAGTTTGCCGACCACGGATACAGACTAGCACACACCACACTGAGCCCAAGATCCCGGCTCTGCCCGCCCGCTCCCGCGAGAGGCGCGTTTGTTCCTCCGGTTAGAAAGCGACATGTTGAAGTCAGCTCTGCATAGTAGCAGTATTGTCTCCACAAATTGCTGTAGGGCTGGCCGGGCGGAACAACGCAAAAAGTCATCAAAAATGACTGCTGTCTTTGAGTGGCCCCAGCTCAGGTCTAAGACAAAGTGAGTCACAAAACTCGGAAAGGCCAGGGCACACCTGTCTGCAGCTGCTGCCCAATGTCAGGGACAGAGGCACTCTGCCACCGTGTCAGGACCAAGTCCCTGATCGTCAAAGCACTCTGAGGCCCTCACACGCCCTTGCAACTCCAACATCCCTGCAGCGCAAGTCACCCGCACCCGGCAGGCAGCCCGACCCCCGAAGGTGAACATGACCCAGAGGCATGCTCCATGCCAAACACACAGACCCACGACTGGTCAGGGTAGAAAGAGGTCAATGGAAACAGACGTCACACCACGGGCTCCCCAACTGAATCCCAAAAGCATTCTTATCACTGGGCCCAAAGCATTCGCTATTGATTATGGTTCTCATCGATGAAATAGCAAATCGACATCAACTTTTATCTTGAACACTCACAGGTGGCTGTTAGCTTCCTAAGTTAACCTGCTCATTCATGACTTGTTCTGTTCGTAATGTGCTGTGCAGACTTTTGCTGATTCTCCATTAACCCTCGCAGTGACAGCTCTTCGGGCTAGGGGCCGGTCCCCAGTGTTCGAGGAAGGCAGGCCCAGTGCACAGAGAGGTTAAGGGGTCGACGGGGGAGCACGGCAAACCAAGGGCTGCTAAAAGGCCCTCTCTCCACACTGCTTGCCTCTCGCCACCAGGGCAGCCCTGCTTGCCAGGTGAGTTCACTGTTTGCTCTCCACCAAGCCTTTCCCTTAGAAAGGTTCTCTCTCAGGCTTTGCCGGGGAGCGGGGGTCCAGAAAAGTGTTCGAGTTGCGGGATTTCAGAGCACCAGCCCTCAGGGCTCAGTCAGGCTGACCTCCCAACTTGGAGAAGCTGAGCCTCTGAGAAGGGCCAAGGCCAACCACCAGAAGACTCCCAGGAGGGCTCCATCCTCCGTCCCTTGACTGGGGCACATCTTCCAGGGAAGGAACTGACCAGAGCAGGAAAGGCCTCCACCCCAAAGGTCATCGCTAGAAGGTCAGTCCTACCCCAGAGCAGAGGTGGCCTGGAGGGGGGTGGTTTGGGACTCCCCAAAGCCATTGGAAGCAATTTCTTTCTTTATTTTTTCTATTTCTACTTTTAAAAAATATATATATAT